ATTAAATTATACACTTTAAATTAATATAGGCGGTTATAAAAAAAAAGTGCAATTAAAGAGTAAGCATTTTCAAAGTTTTTCTAAGTTAAAGTGAGCAATTATTTTCTTATATGTATTAAATTTAGAGTTTATTAAATAAATAATTTCTTTAATGCTTTAGACAATTATTAGATTCATGTTATAGCTTAATAACTAAAGAAATTAAATGGGAAAAGGGTAAATGAGTATTTAATGTCTTTAAAAGAAGGTAATTTAAAGGAAATAAAATGATGGGTAATTGTTTATGTCATACAAGATTTCCCACATATAGTACTGGCAGGGGATGCAATGTACCCGTACACGTTAAAGGAAATGGTTAGTGCGTATATTTGGGTACAATTTGCAGGTATTTTCGAGTATAATTTTAAGGGTGTATTCAGACATTTTTTAGGGAGCTTTTGGGCATATTTTTTAGGATATCTTCTGGTATAACGATAATCATGTGATGACTATTAAATATATTAAATTGATAAATACTTAAAGTGAAATGAGAAGAGATAAATTTAAAGTTTTAATAAAATAAACTGCATTTTCTTAGGTAATTGTTTAAGTCATACAAGATTTCCTACATATAGTACTGGCAGGGGATGCAATTTACCCGTACACGTTAAAGGAAATGGTTAGTGCTTATATTTGGGTACAATTTGCAGGTATCTTCGAGTATAATTTTGAGGGTGTATTCAGACATTTTTTAGGGAGCTTTTAGGCATATTTTTTAGGATATCTTCTGGTATAACGATAATCATGTGATGACTATTAAATATATTAAATTGATAAATACTTAAAGTGAAATGAGAAGAGATAAATTTAAAGTTTTAATAAAATAAACTGCATTTTCTTTTGGTCATGCATAGTATAACATAAGAATTCAATGCATATTAGATTATACTTACTAAGTTATACTTACAGTTGAAGTTAATATTTTCTTTCAAGAGAATGAAAGATTTAGGTTGATATTTTCGAGTATAATTTTAAGGGTGTATTCAGACATTTTTTAGGGAGCTTTTGGGCATATTTTTTAGGATATCTTCTGGTATAACGATAATCATGTGATGACTATTAAATATATTAAATTGATAAATACTTAAAGTGAAATGAGAAGAGATAAATTTAAAGTTTTAATAAAATAAACTGCATTTTCTTTTGGTCATGCATAGTATAACATAAGAATTCAATGCATATTAGATTATACTTACTAAGTTATACTTACAGTTGAAGTTAATATTTTCTTTCAAGAGAATGAAAGATTTAGGTTGATATTTTCGAGTATAATTTTAAGGGTGTATTCAGACATTTTTTAGGGAGCTTTTGGGCATATTTTTTAGGATATCTTCTGGTATAACGATAATCATGTGATGACTATTAAATATATTAAATTGATAAATACTTAAAGTGAAATGAGAAGAGATAAATTTAAAGTTTTAATAAAATAAACTGCATTTTCTTTTGGTCATGCATAGTATAACATAAGAATTCAATGCATATTAGATTATACTTACTAAGTTATACTTACAGTTGAAGTTAATATTTTCTTTCAAGAGAATGAAAGATTTAGGTTGATATTTTCGAGTATAATTTTAAGGGTGTATTCAGACATTTTTTAGGGAGCTTTTGGGCATATTTTTTAGGATATCTTCTGGTATAACGATAATCATGTGATGACTATTAAATATATTAAATTGATAAATACTTAAAGTAAAATGAGAAGAGATAAATTTAAAGTTTTAATAAAATAAACTGCATTTTCTTTTGGTCATGCATAGTAGAACATAAGAATTTAATGCATATTAGATTATACTTACTAAGTTATACCTACAATTGAAGTTAATATTTTCTTTCAAGAGAATGAAAGATTTAGGTTGATATGATGGATATGAGAGATTTTGCTATTAGAGGAGGATGACTACTGCAAGGTATATTTGTTATGAGGATAATTTTTTACTGTTTCTTTCAAATGTTGATATACTATTTAGTGATGGCTTGAGATGTTATCTTTGGATGTTATTATTTCTGGAAGCTTAGATTTTATTGCTTTTTGTGGATTAGTGGCTTTTTTATATATTGGAAGTTTCTGAAACATTTGTGGAAAGAAAAATGAAATGTTAATACCGTCCTACTGCAGTTCCTGCCTTAGCTAATTCTAAGCACCGTGTCGGGTCGTGATAGGTGACGCATGGCCATGATGGACCCACTTTAGCCTTTGGTATGGTGACGTGGAAGTTTGAGGAATTTCCACATGGTAGCCTCTGATTTATTCATATGTAGATGGAATTGGTGTTGATTGAATCAATAGGGGTGCCAAGTGTTATTAATTTCCCAGTCCATGTGTTTGACAAGCGGAGTTATTGTAGAACCACTCCAGACCCGAGTCCGCCACATGGGAAATCTTGTGCCTTTGGATTGAGGAAGAATAATGTCGCAGATTATGATTGGCCAGCCAACATTGGCAGTTTTTTCTATTAAACTTTGCTTTATCAAGGAATGGGGTTGTACTGCCGATGAGGTTGAATTTAATTGGTCAATCAAGGCCTACATTTGTCATATGCATATCAGCTTTTCTGTGGTGTTTTAAAGTCGCATGTCACCTATAGAAATTTTTTCTCTCTTCTGGTTTGCAATATCACAAATATCTTTCTTAGTTGCATAACATCCATATCTTGCAATGCTAACAAATCAACACTGTGTAGTTCAATATTAATTATAGTATGCAATGCAGTAGATTCACAGTAGCACCCCTATAATATGCTGTACAGTTATAGTGTAGTAGCATTCATAACATCGTTACTTAGCAATCATAGTACATAGTATGGTAGCATTCCCAACTGTCATTTGATATGAAATACAACAACGTGAATCAAATATACTGAAGTATTTTATACGATAAGACATATGCATTTAAAACATCCATGTCCTTCTCATGTCAAATACCTGAACATTACACCATATCTATTATCTTGCCATCACCATGAAAATTATCATGCCAGATTTTAATAATACTCGTATTATCATGTATACCATAAGTAGAAGTACATGATGACTTACCATGTGTCATAGGTAGATGAGGTAAGTATGGTTAAGTAATGCAAAACAATATTAGAGCGCATACATGTGATTAGGCCTACAAGTCTACAAACATGTGATTAGGCCTACAAGACTACAACACTTTGTGTGTCTTACATTTCGTATGACTCATGCAGGACGACATGTATCATATGTATACAACACAATTATTTGAAATAGGCCTACAAGACTACAACACTTTGTGCGTCTTACATTTCGTATGACTCATGCAGCACGTCATGTATCATATGTATACAACACAATTATTTGAAATAATACTGAATGTATTAGTGGGTAATACTGCAGACTGAGGAACCATGGTTCCTATAATGAAATAACCTATCACGAAAATCTTCTATGACTTGCTTAAGGAGAGGATTAGAAAAAATTAACAGATCTCACCACAAAATTATTTAGAAATAGCTTGATTTATTTTAACATGCCTCGAGATCATCTTAATAATCAGAAAGTTCAATTAAATTTATAATAATAAAAAAAAGGTTTTGTAGTAAATTTTAGTTAAGACCTTGCTGAAAAGTCACATGTTGCAAACTATCCACATTCTAGAATTTTCGCAATGATTTGTATTGTTATGCCCACAAGAATGTAGTGTTAAGCCAAGCTATTCCTCTACAAATGCTAGGTGTGAGATGTAAATGCAGAAGAATTGTGTGCTGACATTTTTGGTGCCTGCTTTATTTATGAATGAAAATTAGGTTGAGGTGGAAAGAATGAGGGCTCGGGCCCATGACAAGGTTATGAGCAAACTGGCTGTGGCAAAGCATAAAGCAGATGAAAAACGGGCTTCAGCAGAGGCAAGAAGGAAGCAGCAAGCTGCAAGAACAGCTCAACAGGCAGAGTATATCCGAAGAACTGGCCGCACGCCTTCCTCTTTCTCTTGTTGGGGTTGGTGCTTTTAATTGTGCTCTCATTCGGCATCAACAGATTCATTTGGTATGAATTTGGTGAGACATGATTAGGCATTTGTTCATAGAAGTGTTTTATCCCTATTTCTTTTCCTTTTCTTTTTTTTTTTTTGTTGAGGTGAATTGTATCCGTTCATATTCATGTAAATGTGTCTAGATGATCATGCAAGCCTTTTTTATTTTTTAAGTTTTTCATTCTTATTGAGCCATGATTTTCTTTAATGATGAGCGTTATAAAGTATAATGTTAATTGAACGAATTTGATTTAGCATTTAATGAGCAATCTGAACTTAAAATGGATATGAATTGAATGTGAACTATCAAATTAGTAAAATATATTTCAATGAGTATAAATAATAAGTTTATGTTCATGATCAAAAGCATTCTCATATAGAAAAGAGCAAGGCTTCATTTAATAGTGTATTAAACAAATCTATACTCAGGCTTTGAAAGAGAGTATTATCAAATTTAAATCAAAGGAGTTTATTTACAAGTTTGACAAGATATTATTAATGGTTATGAGTAATTAGAACAATGAGCTACTCAAACATTCATTTATAGATTCAGATTTTATGAATTCAGGATTTATGTTTGTTTAAACAATTAGTTAATTAAATGAGCGCAAGGGAGCTCTTTCGATTAACTAATAGCTTATCATGTATATTAGTTGTTTGCAGCCATGTTTAATATCTTTTACTCATCACATCATCATCAATGCATACTTTTTAAATCAAGCTTTATTGAAAGATAATCACACTTAAGTAGGGTTGTAAGTGAATCAAACACTCAACTCGAACCCGGTTCAATGACTATTCATTCAAGTTCGTTAAGAATAGTATGCAAACTGGTTGGAACACTTCATAAAAACTTGTCGTCTAAGTGATTCATTTTCTATTTAAGTTCATTAACTAGTTTGTTTGTTGTTCAATAGGTAATTTATTGAAGATTTGTCAATGACTTAATTAAATTTTGGTTGTATGAATTTTTTTTAATTTATTATTTAGTAGTAATTTATTTTAGTTTAATTTAATTAATAATTAAATATTAATTATCAATTAAATTTTTATTTGTATTCATATATCTTTTTTTATCATATCTTAAATAAATATAGTAATTATACTAATCAATTATATGACCTACCATGAAAAGCTTCAAAATTCATTGTGAAGAAGAATCTAAATTAGAATGTATATGGATTGTATAGAGCTATATAAGATTGCTATTGAAACACAAGTATCATCTACCAAGTAGTGATGGTTTTCTCAATCAATTAGAAGGAGCATCATTATTGTCTCATATTCGCTTGAGAACAAGATATTATTAATTGAAAGTAAGGGCTGGAAAAACAAGTGATAAATGTATTGACACTTGAAGTTAAGCAGAGTCAGCTTAGTGGAAAAAACAAGAGATAAGAGAACGAAATAATCTTGGAAGATTGAAAGTAAGGGCTGGAAAAACAAGAGATAAATGTATTAACACTTGAAGTTAAGCAGAGTTTAGCTTAGTGGAAAAACAAGAGATAAGAGAACGAAATAATCTTGGAAATTTACTTCTTGAAAGAGAGGAGAAAGGGAGGTGCAAGGCCAGAGTTTCAATTTGGCAGAACTTGTGAATACAGTGTTCTTAAGGTTTTTGTTCTCTAAGAGGTAGCATAACATTCTCTTTATCTTAGAATCCATGAAAATTTTTCCTTGCATAATTTATTAAACAAGAATGTGTTTTAGTAATGCCATTGTCTTCTTATGGTAGTCAAAAAGCTCAGAATTGAGAACCTTATAGTTTTCTAAAAATTAGTTGATTATGAGTTGAAAATCGCTGTAGACTTTGATTCGCTTGATGCTCGCTGATTCACAACCCAAATACTAGGATCAAGCCCTTGTACTCAGCAGCATTGTTAGTATATGACTCCACTAAGTTATAAGAATAGCGGAGAATGTTGCGCTTAGCATATATAAAGATCAAGCTGACCTCAGATTGTACCTTTGAGAGAGATCCCGGGGGCCCTTCCTTTAGAGAAGATGCTCCGTCAAAGTATAATTCCCATTTAGGTGAATCGATGGCCATCAAGTGCTCATCAGGAAAATCATTATTAAGAGTTAAATCTGTCGGGATTAGGTGAGCTGCTAGAAAATCAACTAACAAGTCCCTTGACAGCCCGTTGAGGGACATATGAAATGTTAAACTGAGACAAGATCATAGCCCATCTAGCCAATTGTATAGTTAAAGTGGAATAAGTCATTAGATAGTACAAGCGATTTATTCTTGAGATCAGATCAATACAGTGTGAGACTCTATAATGCCACAATTTCTGATATGAAAATATCAATGTCAGACAATACATTTCAATCGGTGGATATTTTATTTTAACGGGGATGAAATACTGCTAAAATTGACCAATGTCATTTCTTTCTCATCCTCATTCACTTTGGGTAGGAGAGAAGCTGAAGGAGGAGGAAAATGAGAGTTTCGAGTTACCGTAAGCTGTGATCTTGTCATTGTGTTCTTAGCTAGCTCAAATTTTGACTGTATTGCGAGGGTTTCGGGGAGATCAGAGTGATGTAGGCGAGGGTTTTATTAATTTAATTTTATTTAAGTTAGTTTTGTTAGTTTAATTGATTAATAATTAATAACTAACTAAAAATTATCAAATTAATTATAATTAAATAAATTTATATTTATCATTTAATTAATAATTAATAAAAAATAAACATTAATTTTTTATTCATTCAATAAATTTATAAATAATTAGTTATTAATATAATCAATAACTAGTTTATTAATCTTTTATAATTGTTAAAATACTATTTAATAATTAATTTAATAATGTTTATATTAATAATATTATTTTAGTAAATATATAATTTTTAATTATCATTATTTGAAATAAATTATTAACGAATTTAAGAAACTAGTAGATTTTGTCTATTTTGAAATATTTTTCGAAGACTTATTTACATCATTTACTAAATCCTGCTATGATTTTTTGTTAAAGTCTAACAATCATAATAAATTTTTAAATCCTGACAATTTCATAAGATTTAATAGGATTTACTAAATCCGTTGTCAAACTATTTTTGAGATTTAACCCTTTCCAATTTTACGAAATTTTAATTTATAAGATTTATTAAATCCTACTAACTTAAAATTTACAGCCCTAAGAGATTCAACCCATTGAAGTGAATATTATTGTGATTGAGGATCCGTTTGGGGCAGCTTATAAGTGCGGGCGACATTTTCAAAACGTCGCCGTACCGTTTGTTTCACACTTTTCGTCAGCTTATCTGAAACCACGTTTGAGTTTTTACACTAAACGCAGGTCACGGGTCGATCCCCGCGGCTAGCCAACAAGCTGCATTTTAGGATAAACATCTTATCTTGAAACGTACAAGCAGCCCAAAACGGACCCTGAATGTTTGGATCTTGTGGTGGGAGCAAAGCAGCTCTAGTTATTGATTGAGCGCTCGTCGGCGGACGACATCAATCTAATAATGTTGGTGTTGGAATGGAACACTAGACCCTCTACTAAATTCGATACATTTAATTTTTTTAAATGCTATCAATAATAGAATTTAATAAATCTGGGATTTAATGTAAAACTGATAAAATATTGAGAATGAATTAGATTTATTAAATTCTAAATTTAAAATTGCTACTTTTTCTGACAAAGTTAAAGTTAAATACTATTTAAATTTATTATCATACAACCTCTTCAAAAAGTACGGAGAGTAAACGAATAATAATAATTATTATATGCAGAAAATTCAAAATATTGATATTTATAAATTTATCATTCATGTAATTTTTTAAACTATCATGATCAAACTATTGAGAATTTGATAAAAATAAAAAATATGAG